CGCGCTCCGACCGGCCCCCGGGACGCCTTCGCAGCCCAGGACCCCCGCTCCGGCCGCTCGGCCCAGCAGTGCGCGGCCCCGGGGCGGGCTGGCCGGGTCACCTCTGCACAGGTCCCTCTCCGGGGGGAGCCGTGGCCAGGACGAGCCCAGGTTTGTCCTGACCAGGGTCCAGCCTGGCACCAGGGTGACCACTTGTGACCTGTACTCTCCTCATCCTGGGCAGCAGCAGAGAGCCCAGATGCGGGACAGGGAGGGGGGTGAAAGGCACAGACATGTGTCGTTTCCGCGGAGGAGGGGCACCGGCCCCTGCCCAGCTGTGCACGGGAGGGTGGGGTGGGACTTTTCCAGAGAGGGAGCCAGGCCTGGCCCGGGCCCCAGGAGCTCACGTCACCCCCACCCCTCACTTCTCCAGGGAGATGCCAAAGCCAAAGCCAGCTCAGGACAGGATTATGTGTACCGGGTGGACCACGGGAAGGGGCCACGAGGGGCAAGGGTCGTGGGGCCTGGGGTGCAGCGCATGGCAGAGGCAGGGAGTGGAGGAGCGGAGGACCAGAGAAGGGGCAGGCAGGGCCCATCGCCCGCCTGCCTTCCTCCAGCCTCCAGTAACAGGCCGAGGGCTGAGGGCCGAGGCCTGCGCTGGGAAGTGGGTCCTTCTCCAGGTCCCCACGCCTCCTCCCGTCAGGACAGAGCGGCTGACCTCGGCTGCCCAGGCAGGGGAAGGAGAGGCCACCCCACCCCGAGCAGCTGAGGTGGCTTCACACTGCCACCACACTCAGCCACTTTCATTCCTCCCTCAAATTCCCGGGTCCTGGGGTCTCAGGGAGAGGAGTGGGCTGGGTGTTGCCACCCCAAGTACATTCCTGGCCTTCCCTCTGTCATTCCCCCACCCTTGAGCTGGTCCAGCAGCTCCTTGGATTCCTCTCCTGGTGCCTTTCTGGTCCAACAGAAACAGTTTTTTTTGTTTTTTGTTTTTTTTTTTTTCCCTCTGGAAAGCAGAACTAAGGCGGGATGGTGGTGGTGGGAATGGCCCATAGCGAGGCAGAGGGGGCTGGAGGACATGGAGTTGGAGAACCCAGCACCTGGGCCAGGAGAGGCTCTGATGGCCCTCAAGGCTGATTTCCCGGCATTCCCGGAGGAGCCCGGGACTGGGGAGTTAGGGCAGCTTTGGCTGCCTCTCTTGTTCCCTGGTTTACCCGGCTGTGATAGCTGTGTAGCAACAGAAAAAAGAAATCTTTTTTTTTTTTTTTTT